CTTTCCCTTCCTTTCCGCACTTTTCCGCACCTTTCCTTTCCTCGAGTCTCCTCAAGTCTCCTTTCCTCTCCTTTCCCCTTCCCCTTTCCTCTCCCCCTCCCCCTTCCCCTTTCCCCTTTCCCTTTTCCCCTGATCCCCACGGATCTGGCTGGTGGCTCTGCTGCTCCTGGGAATCACTTCAATTTGATTTTTTTGGAGCAGAAATCCATCAAGGTTGAATTTTGGGATGAGCCATTTCCAAGAGGGAAGTGGCACATTCAGAAAATAACTTCAAGTTATTTGGGGTTAATCCTTGGTTTTTTGGGAATTTTTTAACCTTTTTTTACCTGAAAGCACAGGTGTGAATCTCCACATCCTCACATCCTTCGTGCCTCTGCCTCCGTCCTCTTCCTCCCCCCAGATTCCCAAACCTTTCCTAATCCAGCAGTTTTACCTTGCACTTAGCACGTTAAAACAGGATTTTATGTCATTTTGGAGCATTTCCAGCAGCCGAGGCTGTGGGGCTGCAGAGTTTTGATGCTGGAGTTTAAGGGTTTGTTTGGGAATCCTGAAGAAATAATCTGGTTAAAGGAGAGGTGAATTAAGGAAATTATTTAATTGTATTTTAGGCATAGTTTGAAGGTGGTGAAGATAATTTTCCTCCTATTAGAAGCAGATCCAATACACATTAGAAGGAAATTGTTTATAAGCACAACCAACATCAGGAGAGGTGAAAAATGTGGGGGTTTAGACTTAAAACAAAGCACTGCTAAATTAATCCCTCTGATTTTTGGGTTCATAAAATATTTCCTGATTTATAACCCATGTGCTGTCCCTCAGCATGGAAGGGAGTGGCTGCTGGACCGTGGCACGGCCAGGGCCAAGTCCAGGTGGCTGAGGGGGATCCTCAGGTGAGGCCCCACCTGCAGAGCTGCCCCAGCCCCGGGGCCAAGAGCAGGAGGACGTGGAGCTGCTGGAGAGAGTCCAGAGGAGGCCCCGGAGCTGCTCCAGGGCTGGAGCCCCTCTGCTCTGGAGCCAGGCTGGGAGAGCTGGGAATGTTCCCCTGGAGAAGGGCAAAATGCAGGGAATGCTGAGAGTCCCTGCAGGGGCTCCAGGAGAGCTGGAGAGGGACTGGGGCCAAGGGCTGCAGGGACAGGAGCCAGGGAATGGCTTCCACTGGGAAAGGGGAGATTGGGCTGGGATCTTGGCAAGGAATTCCTGCCTGGGCTGCAATTCCCAAATTTGCTGTGGATCCCTGGATCCCTGGCAATGCCCAAGGCCAGGCTGGACATTGGGATTGGATCCAGCTGGGATGGTGGGAGCTGTCCCTGCCATGGATGGGGCGAGATGAAAATGCTCTTTAAGGTCCCTTCCCAACCAAACCAGTCTGGGATTCTTGGATTCTGGGATTCTGTGGTGCTTGACAGAAAGATGAGGTTGTGATCGGACCTGCTCTTTAAATCTCCCCC